CAAATAGTTAAAAGAGCAAACTCTAGTCACTTTCGAGAGGCCTCTGAATACTACTGTTTCTTCTGTATAGTAAGATGGAATAAAGAAAAGTCTATCAACTATGAAAGAAAAATAAGCTAACTCGTATATAGCGTTGCGGAATTCTGGAGTCATGTACAGTGTTTGGATCAACGAGTTTAAGTAGCAGGTCATAGCTTGATTTACTAAACCAACATAATTGTGACCATTATCATCCAAATTGCCAACTGTTGATGATGATGTTGTCGCTGGAGGAGCTGGAAGGGCCAAAACAGATAGAGTACTAGGCGCTTCAGATGAATCCGTTGAATTTCCATCTTAAAAATGTTATTAAGCAAAAATAAACCTTTAAGAAACAAGTACACGACCTCCTTAACCTCAAACTGGAAAAATAAACAGTATTCCCAGAAAACAGTAGGGTAATCTCAAACAAGAGCAAAGTATTAGACAGAAATAGCTATATTTTTAGCAAAAAATGATCAAACAGCATAAGACAAGGTGAAAAATGGTCGGTAAGATTAATATATTCAGTGGATAACCACGAACACAACTGACCAGATCTTGCGCCTAGTGCGACATCACCTCCTGAAAACGAGCAGACTATATGAAAAAAAAGTTCCCAGAGAAGCACTAATTTAATATAGTAAAAGTTAATCTAATTACGGTAGTAAAAACAAACCAGGCAAAGAAGGTCCTTGGAATATGCTGGGGCAGTTGTCAGTGACAACACCGTTCATTTTATTAGCTGTGCGTGTATCAATTAGTGGGACGTTTTTTACGCCAAACGGCAGTGTGTTCTTGGCAGTCGCAGAGTTAACAAAGGCGGAAATTGTTTCATCTTCAAATAAAGTTATTATTTAATAAGGAACAAAAAAAGAACAAACAATGTTTACAAAACTAATCAACTGTTTTTATCATGACCAAAATAGCCAATATGTTAAGATAATTAGAAACAGTTATACTTTCCCACTCTATCTTCTAAGACTAAAAGAAAATATATCGACACAACGAATCATTTCCACTAGTAAGACGAGCACAACAGCAGAAATCGCAAATACACATCAAAGACTTATTTCTGACCAAATTTAACGATGCCAAAAGCAACGTATTTCATCCTACCAAATTTTTTTCAAGCATTCTTTCAAAACGTAATATTATAGAAATACTTCGGTCGGAATTACTGGTTCCCGGAGCAGTTGAAGCAGTTGGCTGTGGAGTCAAATTTTTCAAGCTTGACGACCCTAACGTGTTGCGATCTTCTTTTCGAGCCATCTGAACGTTACTTACCAAATCAATTCACATCAAAAGCATGCTACGAAATGATTGCTAAACAAAAAAATTTTTTTTTACAGATACATCAACTTGTATCAGCAATGAGTATATAAAACAAACACGTACAAAACGTACATATAAATGTTCCCTTTCAACAAAAAATAGATCAAGAAGTGGCAAACAGGACGGTTCAGTGAAATGATTAAGTGATAAGTCTATAGTGTAATTTTTTTAGTAATTACAAGCAAGAAGAAAAAAAAACTCGTCCCTTTTTTTCCTCCTTTCTAACAGCAAAACCGTTGTTAATCATCTTCCTGGCTTAATCGTCGAATTCTATGTGCCTTATTTTTTGAATGCGAATCAATAGCGTCAAAAAAGCGAACAAACCATAACACACAAACAACCAATATTAACGTCTTAAAACCTTCTTTTTGATCGCATGATGTCAACTTCTTTTCCATATCTTTACCGCTATTCAACCATATTAACAACAACGACAACAACGGAAATCATACAAGGAATCTGAGCCACAAAAAATTGGTGCTAGGGTTATGCTAACCCGTAAAAATAAATAAATAAACTGCAGTGAACAAAAAAACAAATGGGAAAAACGAGAAAAAAAGCGCTGAAGACGGAATGAGGTGCAACAACCGACGAATTTTTATCCAAAAAATTATTCGCTCAAGTCAAATAAAATCCAGCAAAACTTATACACAGAATTAAAATTTCTTCTTTCTACTGCTGCCGCGTTATTGAAACTGCAGAAAAAAGAAAACCGTCTGATTTGGACAAAGCTAAAAACTGAGGAATAAGTGAGGGAAATCTTTGGTCTCTTACTGCACAACCATCCCCGCGAAAAAAAGACGGCAATATCAACATTCAACGCCAGGAGCAACTGCAACTACAAAAACAGCAGATTCATGCTTCCAGAAGTACACCAAACATCTATTTGAAAAAAACAAAGGATTCTAACACTTCACTGCACCGACTTTTTTCTCGCACGTTCACCGTCAAGTGCCGCTTTCATCTGTTCTTTTCGTTCTTCATCTTGGCTTAGCTTCAAGACTCCAAATTTGAATTTAATTCAGTTTGCAACACCGTCTTCATATTGCATCGCTTAAGCTATCAACAAACTGAATGTACAGATAGTGCAAAGAAGTACATAAATCAGTCTTGTTTGTTAATAAGACCAAAAATACTTAAGTTAAACTGATGACAAAAAGATTACCCTTATTTCTTATTCGAAAAATTCTTTTTCCACCTGTGCTTTTTTTTCTTTTTTTGAAGTAGCAACAAAATTACAATAATAGTATAGAACTGTTAGTTGGAAATCGAAAAATATTACACAGTTAACAGAAGAAGGAAAAAACTAACAGAACATTAAAATTTAGTTTGTAAAAGAAAGAAAAAAAAAATAAAAAGACGGTAGCCATTGAAGAATTTCTTAATAAATAACACATATTCATTCATCCATTCATAACTTTCAGTTAATCGTGAAGGCGGTTAAAAAAAAAACATTTATTAAAATTTTTGCCAGAAACATGGGATTCAAAATTAAAAATAAATAAGAGAAAAAGAAAAAAATAGCTGATCAAAGTAACGGGAGGAGAGGAAGAGGATGAAGGAGAAAAGAAAGCAAAGCAAAGTTGGTATAATATAATCAAAAGGAAGAAAAGTTTCTTTTTTGGCTTTATCAGTAAAACATCCGCACATTGTCATACACCTTATCTAAGCGATAAAAATGCTTTTAGTTCTGAATATATGTATATATATATATATATATATATATATATATATAATTCAGAATTAAATATATGTATGTATATGTAAAAGGAGTGCTAGAAGGCCGCTTAAAAATATCGAAAAGGACTTTTATAGTCATTGGTTTCGTCTTCCGTTTGAGTCATTATTATTTTTGATGCTGAGGCTGAAAAGGGAGGGGAGGGGGAAGGGGGGGGGGAGAAAAAAAAAGGGAGCAGCAGAGTTGTTTGTTGCATGATTTGCAGTGCCCAGCAAAGAAGGAAGAAGAAAGAAGTAAGAAAGAAGCATGATGAAGACAGAGAACTATGATAATGATATGAAGCTGCAAAAGACGAAAAGCATTTTTTTTTGGATCTGTGCTGCTGCCGTTGTCCTCAGTTAGAAGTTGTCAGTGACGAAGTCAGCAGCGTGGTTGTTACCCGCATACATCCCATTGTTTCTGCTCTTCTTCCTTCTCCTTCCCTCCTACCATCCTACTGCACCCCATCTGCCTTTGTTTTCCTCAGCCTTTGGCACCGTTGTTTTAGTGGCCATTTAAACTAATCACCAGCAGCAGTTATTTGGTAGTAGTGTAAAATGCAGTTTTAGGAATAGCAGTTATCCTAAGGTTTGATTATCAAAATGTTGTTTGGTTTTGTAGTGATGATGAAATAAAAATTTTTAAGTTAGCTTTAATTTTTCATTAAATTTTGAAATAAAACAAAAGACAGAAAAAAAAAAGTGGTAAAAGCAAAGAGTAAAACTAAAATTCAGTCAGAAGAATAGTTTTTGAGTTTTTTTTTGTTGTTTGCCTGTTGTTCGGTTCCAAGAAAAAGTTTTCAAACAATCACTGATCTTTAGGAATATTTTTCAGTGGTTTTTTTTTTTCTTTTTGTTCATAATTCATCTGTTAATGCCGCTACCAATTAACAGCAGTAGTTCATCTATTTTTACTGTCCATTTCAGTTAGTATTAATTATAAACTGTTTTGCTTTGCCCTTCTTAATTTTCTCTTCTCCCTTCCTTCTCCTTTTAAAAAGAAAAAAGAAAGCAGGTCGAGAAAAATTTAAAAGGATTGTTTTAGAGGTGCCTTTTTTTTTTTT